ATAACCAACTAATTCAAATTAGTGTTTTTTATTATTATTATTTTTGACTATTTCAACTATCTTTTACAAAATAACCAACTAATTCAAATTAGTGTTTTTTATTCTTATTATTTTCGACTATTTCAACTATCTTTTACAAAATAACCAACTAATTCAAATTAGTGTTTTTTATTCTTATTATTTTCGACTATTTCAACTATCTATGTCTAATATGAGAATTATTGATTAGTTGAATGTAATAGATTAAGGAGCCCAATAATAAATGCAAGAAATTTAAACTTAGTAGAAATATTAAGGACTTGGAGGACTGTATGAAATCAAGAGAGCAGGTTCAAAAGGAAGTTAAAAGGGCAAAAACTGTATATGAAAGAGGGTTGACTGAGAGAGTTAAATCAAACAATAAGGAATTCTTTAGGTGTATGATGAGTAAGCAAAATGTTAGGATGGGCATTGGGCCTCTTAAAAATGATAGAGAGGAGGTGTTCTCAGAATTAAACTTATTAAATTATATGTTCTCTTCAGTTTTTACAAAGTAAGATACACGTATTATGGCTCAACCAGAGCACTTCATATTTTTTATAGGTCATTAAGTAGTGGAAGAGTATTAGAAGATTGGAAGTCAGCTAATGTTATTCCAATATTTAAAGAGATGATATACTTTGTTCAGGTAGTTATAGGCCAGTTAGTCTTACATCAGTAATTGGAAAGGTTTTGGAGAGTGTGATTAAAGATGCTTGGCAGAGTCACTTGAAGCAGTTTGATATACTGTCAAAGAGTCAACATGGCTTCACTAAAGGAAATTTTTTTTAACAAATCTTCTGACATTCTTTGAAGATGTTACTGCAAGAGTTAATGAAGGAAATTCTGTGGATTTGGTTTATCTTGATTTTCAAAAAGTGTTTGATAAGGTGCCTCACAAAAGACTGGTTACAAAAATTAAATCTGTAGGTGTGTGGGAAATGTTGTTAAATTGGATAGAAAATTGGCTGGAGAGTAGAAAGCAGAGAGTAGTAATAAATGGAGTTAGATCTGACTAGATCACAATTAAAAGTGGTGTGCCTTAGGGCTCTGTACTGGGTCCTCTACTGTGTATGATCTATATTAATGATATTGACTCTGGAATGTCTAACAAAATTCTGAAGTTTGCAGATGACATTAAGATACAATTGAATTGAAGATGCTGCAGACTTACAGGGAAATTTAAATCATTTGATGCATTGGGCCAATACATGGCAGATGATGTTTAACTATCCAAAATGTATGGTGATGCATGTAGGTTTTCAGAATTCCAATTATTGTTACAATTTAAATGGGGATACATTAAATACTGTGGTTGAAAAAAAAGATATTGGTGCTGTGATAGAAAAATCACTTAAGTGATCTGAACAGTGTATTGTAGCTAGCAATAGGGCTAATAGGCTTTTGGATAGCATCTATAAAAATATTTAATACAAGAGGAGGGATATTATTTCACTGTATAGATCACTTGTAAGGCCTCATTGCGAGTACTGTGTACAGTTTTGGGCTCCCTTCCTCAAGAAGAATATTGAATTGTTGAAGTAGGTTCAGAGAAGAGCCACTAGGATGATACCTGGGATGGTGGGATTGTCATATGAGGAGAGACTAAAATCTCTAAACTTATTTTATCTAGAGAGGAGAAGAGTTAGAGGGGATTTGATTGAGGTGTTTAGGATTATTAAGGGTATTGATAATATAGATCCATCAAACTTTGTGTTTAGTAGTGAAAGCAATAGGACAAGGGGTCATAAGTTCCATTTTTAACAGCATGGGGTCTTCTGCAGTTTAAACAGTATTAATTTTCAAACAGGGATGGTTAGGTTTTTCTAATGAGCTGCCTTCGAGGGTGGTAAGGCAGAAAATTTAACTGAGTTCAAGAAAAGATTGGATGAATACATGAGTAGTAAGGGGTGGTTATAGTTTGGAGCTGGAAGGGACATCCTTGATGGGCTAATAAGCTCCTTTTTGTCCTTTTGAAATTTTATGTATTGAACATGAGACCAGTCTATGGTATGAGATTATTTGTCACAATTTCAGGTAAAGCAGAGCCTATTTTTTATTTACTGATGTCACTTTTGTGTGATTCACTCTAAGCATCAAATTTGTACTGGTTTGTTCTATGTAGAACAGAACGCGTGTGAAGGAACTTTAGAAATACCAAACTTATCTTCTTGTTAAACTTTATGTTTCAATTTAATGACAAAGATGTATGTGGACGGAGTGCTACTGTATTTGATTTATTACATGAGCAATATCTTAGCAAATTGAAAAGATAAGAGGCTCTTGTTTTATATTCTAGCTTGTCAATATCGGTAATTTGAGTTTCTAATTCATACAAAACTATAGACTTAGTATTTTCACTTCAAAAACATCTAATTTGAACTAGTGTTGCATTCAACATACCACGTGACATGCAAAAATTTATGTTTAACTGTGTTTGTAACATTTACTTTTAAATTAAGAAATTAAATAATGTATAATACTAAAATTTGAATTATAATCTACAGTTTGATACCAAACTTATTGACATAGATTCATAGAATAGTAGTACAATAAAATTTTGAATGCAAGTCAACAACTGTGATGACATGACCTTTGATCTGTGACTGGTCTGGAGAGGATTAAACTATATTTTGTCTTTCTGCATTTGTCTCTGTGAAAATCAGTTTCATTTTATGTAACTTACTTCAGAGATAGACTAGTGGGATTATTGGTATGTGATGTAATGCCACTTGATTAGTTAACTAGTTTTCACTTGTGGAGGAGCAGTATATGTGTATAAGAAGCTCGTGTCAAGTTACATCAGTGACAATAGTAGTTGATGGATTGGGTTTGAAAACATTTGAACATCTTTTAAAAGAGTTAAAAAAATTCATTGATGTTTGAAGAAAAAACATGATGTAAGAGAATTGTATATGTATTCTATTTTACATGAAAAATGTTTTTCATATGGCATAGGCAACATAATTTTAATTACTACATCATGTTTTTGTATATTATCAGAAAACAGTTTTCATGTATGAAAGACATATTATTTTTTGTTATATTTTTTTAAAAAAATTAAGTAAAATTTCTACCAAAGTCAATGTGATAGAAGATTCATATGTTATCAGGTTTGGGAAGTTGATAGAGAATTTGTTTTGTCTGAAACACTTTAACATAAAGTGGGTTAGACTGAATAAAGTATGTGATTCTTTGAGTAGGTTTGTATAAATTCCAGCAATCTAGACTAACTTTACTAGCAAAGGAAACATTAATTATTACTTATGAAGAGCTTGAATATATTTTTTTTTTTCATTTATGGGGAAATATAAGAGAGAGAGAGTATGGGAATTTTTATGGATTATTTATAACATGCATGTTTATTTACAGGCTTTCTCTTCTCTGTGGCCAACAAAGCTGGAAAGACTGTGTCAGAAACAGCTAAGCAGCTAAAGAATAGTGTGGGTGAAAGTGTAAGTGCACTTACTTGTAAAGGTTTTTTTATTTTTTGCAGGTGATTCACCAAGAAATGGTAAAACCTCTTTTTATTAAAATATTTTATCAGTCACCATAGTGTGGTAATTACATGTTAAGACAATATTACTGTTGTTAAAGGGCTGAACATTGTTTATGATATGGTACATGACCTCTACTCACATAAATAGCTATTCTTGTTCATTGCTGCCCTCTATATGCAAAAAAATGTTTACTCATGCCACAAGCCTTTTATCTCCCCTCCATTGGAATCAGTCAATTCCAATGCATCTCTCATGCAAATCATCTTGCATCAACCATCCACGAATGATGCATGTGACTTCTGATATTCAATTGTACTGAACTATCTCTTCTCATTTGGCAGTACTCGTGTTCAGACGTTTTTTCTTTTGGTGCTTCTTTGTGTGAATCATTTTTGTAATTTTAATAGTTTAATTTCCAAAATGGAATTTCTTTATTATTTTTGTTCTTTACATTGAAGAAATCTTTTAATTTAACTAAATTTCCTAGTCTTTAAATTTTTTTTCTCGCACTTGCATATGTTATATCACACTTTTGTTTGATTTATATATTTCTAAAATGAATTCTGAGGTTCATGTTCCCAATTTCAGTGTTATACCTCTAGAACTATTTTCACAGGCTGCAGATGGGTGAGACCCATCATTGGACTTCTCTGCTATTATTCATCGTGTGATGGATCATTATATGGGTCAACCTATTTCTCCTGATCTTGCCCCACTAATCCTACTAAACAAGCCGAACCAGTTCGAGCCAATGAAGGTTTGATAGCCTTTTTATGACACCAGATTTTGCAGTGTCTTTTCCTACCCCTCCTGCAGAATCAGCTAAGCCTAATATGGCATTTTTCAACATGATTTCTTAGGTATGTGATGTTTTCTTCCATTCCCTGTTTTTCTATGATTCCTTATTACCTCCATTTTGGCTCTTGTCACCTTCAGCTTTCTCTTGTCTTGAGTTTGTTTGCTGCCTCTTTCTTTTAAGGATTTACATATGGACTTTTTTTTTTGTGATATGTTTTCAATCATGTATCTGAGTCTTTGGAATCATGTATGTAATCTGTGTGTTAACACTACCCTTTCCTCTTTGGTTACAAGTTTGTCGCAGTTGGAGCCACAACAATCCCCCTATACTCTTCCTGTCCTGGTCCTTATTTACCCTTCCTTGTTCCTCCTTCCAGGGTTTTCTCATTTTATTCAATGTTGATGGGCATGTTGCCAAAGTACCTGAGACTAACTAGTCCAGTGGGAGGTTGACTGTATGATTTTGTTACCCTTTGACATTTTTCACTACAGATCCATGGGTTCTTTGGGTTTATTAGAGGGACTTGTCCTACTATTTTTTTCTCCACATCCTTTGTCTCTGGTACCATTTTCCTTCTCCATGACTTGGGATCCTGCCATAAGCCAGCGTCTGTCCGAGACAGTACCAGATAATCTGTCTCAACAGGCCATTGAACTTGTTCATCATCTTTCTCCAGGTTGTTTGTTGTCCTCATGACAAACTGGAGACTGGCAGCCTGTATTAGGTTTGTCTTGCCTCAATCTAATTTTCAGTCTGCCCTGTTTTACCTTGGAGTCATTCCTCACCCTTAGGTGGGCTTTTTCTTGGTTTATAGATGACCACAAGAAATGTCTCAAATGTTTATTTGCATATCCTGATATCTCATCACTCTCAACCCTCTACTCGGTTTGTTCTCCATGAGGTGGCCTATCAGTTTCTTGCACTGACCTTCAGACTTGCTTTGGCCCTGTATGTTTGTTGGGTGGTCAGAGCATTCATTTGTCACTTACATGCTTGTAGGTTGAGCTTTCCTCTTTCCTTGGATGAATGGCTACTGTTAGCTTATTCCACACAGGAATTTGCCTGTTACCCTTATCAGCTGCTCTTGGAGGCAGCTATGGTGGGCTAGTTAATTAAGTTGGAGAAGTCCTTACTGTGACCTATCCAATATCTTGTCCATTTGGGTGTTTTCTTTTTCTACACCCATCTCAGTTGGGTCCACCTTGTTCCTCTTTGACTTCATTTGATGGATTTTTATTTCTATTACAGCTCACAAGGTTCTATTGCTTTTGGGGATGTGATTATCCATGGTCACCCTTATCCCCTTAGGTCAGGCTCTTTCATAGGCTGTTCACGACCAGTGGAATCTCGCAACTGATCCTTTGTCGGCTCTTATTACCCTTCCTTTTACTTGGTCCAACTTGGAGTTTTTTTCAATTCTTGACTCAATCAGACTCAGCCTTCCCCCATTGTACTGTGAGACATACAGCATCTAATCATCTTGACTCTTACTTCTTCTATACTTTCTGCATGAGAAGTTCTATTTCCTTTGGGGACTCTCACAATTTATAGAACATCTTATCCCTCTAGGCCAGATTTACATGAGGCTTCATCAATGGACTTTGAGTGACCAATAGGACATCTCTTACGATCCTCTGTACTCTGTTGTGATATTGCCACCTTCTCTTTTTGAGGATTTGTCTTGATTTCTGAATTGTACCAACATTACATTGGTATCTCGTGACTTTACGGCCTCCAAGGTTTGGTCTCCTGTAGAGTGTACCTTCCACATCAGTACCTGGAACTCTTTGCAGCATTGGGCATGTTCCTGTTTCCCCCCTCATCTTGTGGATCTCTGACAATTCCATAGTCCTTTCCTATATTGACCATCAAAGTAGTGCTTGCTCTAGGGATCTTTGTCTGCCATGTCCTGGGGGCTTTGAAATTAGTGTCAATTCAACTCTGTTGACCAGACAGGATTCTTCCTATGGAGTGGTCACTCCATTATCAGGTCTTTAATTGGATTGTTTCCACTTGGGCATGCCAATGATCGATGCCTTTGTCACTCCACCCAGTATCAAACATCCTCTCCTCTAGTCCCTGCTACCTCGCTGATCTGGCTGTGGATACCCTCAGACAAGACTGGTGTCATCTCATTCTTTGTTTACCCTCATCTTTGCCTTCATCCATATGTCTTGGTATTGATTTGCAACAGTCTTTGTCAGTTTCTGTTGATTACACTCTTTTGGCTGACTCAGTGTTGGTTTCTTCTTCTCCACAGACTGATATCCAGAGCAGCTCTTTCTTTACCTCTGTTGCAATTAGTCTTGTTTTAATCTCGTACATATCTCTTTCATCTGGGAGTATCATCCCATTGTCTTCACATGTGGATTTGTCTGGTCCCTTGCTTGCCAGTTAGGTTTCTTTAACTGAGTGGCTCTTATTTAATTCTGTTTGTGTCACCTTTCTACTCTGTTAATAAGTGGCATGTTTTTTGCTGCTGATTTATCTGCCATTCTTTACTAATGTACCATCCTACTGTTGCTTATTTTTTAGTCTTCTTTGCTTTGTTGTTTGACTAAGGATTGTCAGTTTCTACCATTGCATACTATCAGGTGGCTTTGTTGTCTACCTTTTGCCTTTTTCACTATGGTTCTATCTTTTCCTTCCCCTGTTCTTTCTGCCTTGTTCTGGTCCTTACTAATTCATTGTACCCCCATACAGTTCCTTTGCTCTTACCCAAGCTCTGTCTGAACCCTTGGCTGCTTATTACTTATAACATCTCTCCTTTAATCCTATATCCTTCCCTTTTGTGGTCATCACAGATCTGATCTTTATTAATTGGATGCCTCCTGTGCTTTGTTTTACAGATCTTCCTTAATTAAATCCTCATTTCATCCTAAGACATGGGTGGCTCGTAAGACGAATTGTACCTTTTCTTCCATATCTCTTCCGTCTATTTTAGCATTCTATGATCACACTGATCACCTTTTGTGTCCAGGTGAGGCAGTCAAGTGTTAATTGGCACACACAGTTCCTTTTTCAAGTTCCCTCAATCATGTATTGTTGCTATGGGACAATTCTTTTTCCATATGTCTCTCATCCTCAATACTTACTGTATGGATTCATCAGTTCCTCTGAATCCTCTATTTCTTCCTTGATGGAGATGTTTGTAGGCTGTATCACATCTCTCTACATCAAATCTGCCACATAACTCACTTTATGGCCTTGCACTTTTATTGATTCTTGAATGAGATCATCCAGGCTGGAATGCAGACTATGTCCAACACCTGTGTCTCCTGTTATCTCCACCATCTGGTGGTTTTGTCTCCATCTGGATTTCACGTTTCTCCATTCACCATACCCTAATCTACTCATTGTCTTTGATGGGTAAGTTCTCATTCACAAGGCATAATTACTTCCTTAACTCTGCAAAGAACCAGTAGTAATGGAAAGTGTTTAACCCATCCATCCTGCTCCTAAAGTGACCACTGTTGAAATGGGGTTTTTCTGGAAAAACACTGCTGTGGTGTACATACTTCAAAATCCATTCCAAACTATACCTTCCATGGAAAAAGCCAACACCGAAGAAGTGTCTGTCCACTTTCCTGGCTTGTACATGTCAGCTTTTCAAATTATGTTTCATGGTGACCCATTGAACTATTGTACTTTTGCAGGTCAAATACTTTTATGATGCTTGGGACCGGACATCTCTCTTGTGTCTCCCCAGTGTAAATCCCACTCCCCGGTCTTCGGGTGGAGCACAAGAAACCCTTGTCATTCCCAGTTCCTAGTCACTGGGATGGTTAACTAGGAGAGTTCTTCACCAGTTGTAAGATCCTTCTGGAGATAGTTTGAGTAAGCAGCAGAGTATGGTGGGAAATAGGGCAGGGGTATCATTGTAGTTCAGATCACCCCTAATATGTAGTATGGTAATATCCTCATGGTTTCTGCCAGCCAGATGAGGCTAAGTGTTCTCTATGGTGATTAAATTGTACAACAGTAAACATACCAAACTGTATGGTGTGATTATTGGCCTAGCCAGACTAAACCGTTTGTCCATTCAACCTGTTGTGTGTAAAAGCTTGGTTAGTCATGTATTTTTCTCCCATACCTACAACACATCAACTCATTTTGCTCTTTTCCTTATAGAGAACTGTTCACAATTTATGGTAACAATTTGCATATTCTATTTACTTGTTGCATGCCATATTCATTTTAGATTTCCCCACATTCCTGTCTGCAGATAGTTCTTCTACGGGATTTAGATTCTGGTATACTGTGGTTCGAATTCCAACCCTACTAGTTTTTTCTCTGTTTGGTTGTGCTCCTACCATTTTTGGTCCTTGTATGTGACAACTATTTTCACACTGGGCAAAGAGTATACATGGTACAGAAGTGGTGCAGTCTCATGTGTTCTTCTCCCTATGGGGATCATACTTCATAGGTGTTCTGTGGATGCTTTTGAAGGATACTTATTTTTTTCCCTCAACTGGTCCCTCCACCTATTCAATGGGGTTTTTTAGCTATACATGTGAGAAGAGGTAATGTACTGTATTGGAAGTTATTATTTTCCTATACTGAAAATATATTTCTGATAGGTACCTACTCCTTCAAACCCTTCCTCCACACTGAAAGCCATTGCTTTCTTTTCTGTCTAATCTCAAAGTGATAGTTTGGTAGAATCAAATAAAGTGAGTCACATTCGTCAGGAGGGTGTGTTGCACTCCTGTTGGTGGAGGGTTGCCACATGATGATTTACATGTTAGATGCACTTGAACGACATTGATCGTGAGGTATGTGGGAGTTCAAGGCTTATGCCATGAGAAGAAATATTTTACATATAGAGGGCAGCACTGAATGAGAACAGCTATATATGTGATAGGAGGTAAGTACCTGTCAGAAATCTATTTTCAGCATAGGAAAATAATAATAACTTTATCAGGTTGTATTTGCATCTTCTTGTTTCTCATGCTTCATATATGAAACAAAATTAGAATTTTCATTTTTTAATTAGTAACAGATATTGTCCCAAGCTTTAAAGCTACAAGTGCTCTAAAAAACTTGATCTTTTAACAAGATGACCAAAAATGCTGAACAAAACTTTGTACTTCATTTATAAATTCAAAAGTAAATCTAATTGTGTGTGTGATACAACATGTTCAACAAATAAGATACATGTGTATGTTTAAGTTTTTTTATATAAAGGTTATTTATTTCTATTCTAAGGATACTTCAGAAAGCATGACTTGATGGAAAAAAAGTGTTAAATATTAGTCTTGGTGAAGGCAAATCTGAGTTAATGCTATCAAGGCAAACTCTCACTAAAAGTAAACAATGATATTTATAGAGCTGAAAATTATATTTTTTATTTATCTTCATACCAAATATTATTAAAACAGGTGGGCAAAAACAACAAAAAAAAGATTGTTAAGTAGGAACTGTTAACTGCAAACACACACAAATATGCACGCACTGCTCTCAGAAAGTGATTTTTGTGTATGTATTAGTTCATGATATCACAATTATTGTAACATATCTGCACTGTCAGAAAATCTAGAATTTTCTATGTGTGAACTTACATTTAAAATATGTTTTTCATTTGTAGAGTCTGATGGGGGACAAAGAACCTTCCAAAAAGTTTAATTATTCAAGTCTTCAAGACACTTCTATACTTCCATGGGTTGGGTGTGAAGATGAAGAAATGGTGAAAGAGCAGATTTTGTCTTTGTCTCAGGTAGTGTAATTGTTGTGTCATTATTCATCATGTTTTGTCACAGTATTCAAGTAAATTTATTTCATCTGATAGAAATATTCTCATTTTACTTGCTCTTGTCCATCTATTTTAAGAGATAAACTTTGATTTATTGTCTCAGATATGGATATTTTATTATATACAACATGATGTATTTTCTATGTGTAAAAGATATAACTGATCTAACATGAATTTTTACAGGCACCTTTTCACACACACACAATGTAAACATTTTGTTCTAGAACATTTTAACTTTCTACCTTGATACATTAACTATTAATATTAAAATAAATACCTTGTTTCAAATACTTTATGCATATTTGACACTCGGTTTTCACTGATTTTAAAAGAGATATTTTTATTGTTTTTTTTTATTATGTTATTCAAAAATGCTTAAAGGATGTAAATAATTGGTTTCTTCCAATCACAAAACTTTGTAAGAATTATATGTATGCTGTCACCTTTGCAAATGCTAAGTGGAAGAAGATCACTTCTTTTTGAAAAAATTATCATTTCTTAATTTAAAGGTTTTTACTTGTATAGACTCAGCTTTCAAATGTTGGTTGTAGGAAAAGTATGAAGTAAATGTAGCACAGAATAATAAACAGTTAAAACATATTTAATGGAATTATGTTGAAATATAATAGAGCCACTTGCAAATGTTGATTCTACTATTACATTGGTGCTTACTGTACCTTATAGCTCATAAGCTGAAACTGAGAGTATTTCTCCTTCCTCAAAAAGAAAATAACCTTACTCTGTAATGTTTCTATGAAGCAAAACTTTTATGTTGAACCTAAAGCCTTAACAAGAAAAAAACACAGGCCTCTAATAAAAATAGAAGCTTTGCATCAGCTTTGTCACGTTTCACCTGTATGATATTCAATTTCTCTAACTAGTCAAAATCAACAAGTTTCATTGTATTGTTTAATATTAGCAAAATATAGTAAAATAGTCCTGACAACTTTCATCAGAACTTTCAAAGTTCGGAAAAAGTATAATCTCATTGTACAGGATCATCAGTGACAGCATCATGGTAATGCAGACTGGCTTTTTTGCCAGCCAATGAAAGTGTACCTGTTTATAACGTGTTCTCAACTTAAATATTGTGCTACTGTGAAAGCCACTATCACTGCATTGATGTCTACCCATATAAGCACTAGCTAAAAGATCAATCTTGGCCGCAGCTTGCAGCATATCAAAGTGAAGCATGACTATCACAGAGCCTTGAATAGACACATATAATCTCTAGTATTATGTTGACATTTAGACTTGGGAAACGCTGATAAAAAAAAAATTATCCAGATGTGAGGACTGAAGGACACCAGAAAATGTCACAAGCTTCAGCCTTAAATTGTGGTTTTTGAAATGTCAGTGAGGTGTTAATCTGTGTTTTTATATACACGGGCAATATACAGATATGTATTTTGAATGAGAGATCTGCTTTAAAAAATTGCAAAATTTTTTGTAAGTGCAAGGTCTGACAGTTCTTGTGTAGCTTTGCACAAAATCTTTAAAAAACAAAGTGTATGAAAGGGTGTTGGGCAAAAATGTAAAGATCAAAATTTTTAAAGCTAATAAAGGTGATGCTTTTGAGTGTAACAAATCAGAGAACTTCATATTTTTTCTGAAATCTATGTGATATTTTTGTGGCTTGTCGTTGCAGAATAGTGTTTATTTTGGGCAGTTAAAGATCATCGAACAAGTTCATTTCTTTTTGAAGCACATATTTTCCTTTTAGAAAACAGTTAATGTTTTATAGATTTGTATTCTTGAGAGCTGTGCTTTTAACAGAAAACACCTATGAGTGGCTGTGAGTGATATTTAACATTTAATCATATCCTACTGCTAGCTTACCAGTATAACATGCGAGATATTATTATGTTAACAAAATAAACTTTTGGACTAATTCCTTAATCTATTTATTAAATGCAAGCAATTGTGTTACTATGTACAAAATCATTTTGTTAAATTCCTTAAGGTTATTCTTATTATTATTATCCTTACACAACTTGATGTAGTAATCCATTGTGAAAATATTCACTTTAGCATTTAGCAGGTAAATTATAGTACTTCATCAAATTCTGTAATATTATTTCTTTTAGAATATTTTAATTATTTTGTGATTCACTTTGAGTTAACTATATTTATAAAGATTAAAAAATCTATAAACTTGACCTAGACTTGTTTAATTTTTTGAAATCAGAAAGTTTTCATTGTCAATTTTTTATCCTGAAAGTTTAATTTCAAATCAGTGTTGATTTTGTTTCTAAATAAAATGTTTCAGGTAATGATTATTTTACAATACATGGGGTATTTCTTAAGGAGCATTACTGAAAAGTACCATTGTCCTGATTTACTGAGTATGTGTTCAGAAAAATAGCTGAAATACAAAGCCTCATATCAGATGCATGACAAATATGTTACAAACAATTTAACACTTATTTTTGCACAGTTTAAATAAGTAATTGTTGGCATGAAATTGCTAACACCTTTTAAATTACTTTTATTAGTTCCTGTTTAAGAATTTTCAATCTTTGCATTGTGTTTATTTAGAAATAAATTACTAGTTTTATCATAAGTCTTCTAGTATGTGTATAGATAGCATTATGTAACATTTACTGTTAAAAGTTCTTGTAGTTAAAGAAAGAGGTCTGGAGAGAATATAGTAAAAAGCTGCCCTTACTTTTCCAGGATAAGAAGAATTTCTTACGTAGCCCTCCCTCTGGTGCTCAGTTCAACTATGACCATGATAGTTTTCTTCCTATAGTCAAAGCATTAATTGAAAATGATCCAAATTTGGAGAGCATGAAGCAGGATTTGGTTCCAAAATTGTAAGTTGCTGGTATAAAATTAAAACTAGTGTGTCAATACCAGTCTTGGTCTATATAGCATCCATACTGAAAAACTTCCTATAACCTCAACTTTACCATCTATCAGTACAGTAAGTTTACTGATAATTAGATAGCAGAATGCTTCTAAAATAAGCTATATACCATTCAATTCTTTCTGAAGATTGTAGGTACAAAATGAAAGTGAAAGTTTTGCAAATCTAAACTTATTGTAACAATTTAATTTTAAAAATGTCCTTCAACAATAAGTGTTCCAAGAACAACAAATATAAAAATAGGAGTAAAATGCTTGTTATAAGCCTTTTGAAATTTCAATCCATAAAAGATTTAAAGTGAGTGACATGTTCAGATGGTAAGTTCTGTTCATGTATACATAAAAACATTGTTGAAACTACATTGACTGGCCTCTTTATTTAGGACTCACACCTGGTATTGAATCGCACTGGATCTTGCCACATAATAATCTGGAATCAACAGACAATTGATTTCATAAGATACCAGAAGGTGTTTTATGTAAATGTAGCTCACTAATTAAGGAATATGACCTATAGTTGGTCCACAGATGTTGACAAAAGGTAAGGAATATGACCTACAGTTGGTCCACAGATGTTGACAAGAGGTTAAAGTGAAGTGTGAAATGACTAAGTTCTTCATAGATAATTAACTTTGCTTAATTAAGCTTTGATAATTTTTATGGTGTAAAGGATGACTGAAGTCATTTTCTTGTTCTTTGGATCAATTTTGGATAATACAAGCACAGTTGATTGTTGCATTAATTTTTGGAAGAGATTTTGTGTATTAGGGTTCAGCATTTTGAGATGAAAATAATTGACAACATCATTCCAGTACACAGATTGTTATTCACCTTTCTCAAAAAATGAAAAGAACAGAATGTACCTCACACACCATTATATCATCTTCAGTAGCCTAAAAACAAGAGCAAAGTCAAATGCATAATATAGTTTTCTCTGTATTTTTACTTTTCTACCAGTACTGAACAAGGTGTATTGCAACCAATCAGACCACTTCGATGCTTCCAGTCATTCATTGTGCATATTTTTTGCAAAAAATAGAATGTTTTGTGATGTGTCAGGTGGTTGGTTGAGCTCTTATCATGATTACCTTGTAAGACAATGGATACAGAAATATGATTTCTCCAGCTTTCAGTGTGGTACGAGTATGAGTACTTATTTATTAGAAAAGTCTCCAACTTATGGTGGGATATGAAAGTGAGTATTTATTATATTTATTAGAAGTTTGTACCAGAGACTTATCTGGCTATATTCTTCAAGCCAGGTGAGCAAGTACCTGAAAGTTCCAGTAGGTGGCTGGAATGCCAATGACAACCTTGATTTTTATGAATATGATTAACTGCTCAGTCAGCAGTTAGAAAAGTTGCTGACTAGTACAATTACTTACTGAAAGGAAATGACAGTTTTTACTTTCCAAGCTATTAAGTGATCTTAACTTGCAATGTAGACACTAAATTGTGTGATATATCTATTTGATCATCACACTTAGGACAATTGTTGATCAAGCGTGGTTGGCTGAAAGGGCTCTATGATCCTTAGTTTCGAAGCTATTAGGTGGCTTTATGTGGAAGAATGTGTTGACTCAGTTCTTCAATAACTACTTGATTAGGATGGTCATGTAATTGAAAGATCAGTGACTGAAAATTGATAGCATTCCTTGTTTTCTGAGCTACAAGGTGGTATTTCATGGTGCAATTTGTGAACTAGATTGTATGATTTTACACTCCAGCTAGGATGGCTGTTTGATTGAGAAACCAACTGCTGAAAAAGTATTGTGACCCTTGTTTTCTGAGTGATCGAGAATAGTTTACTTTGACAAAATATGGAGATGACCATTTGATAACCCCAAGCTGGGACAATTGTTGGTCGAGAATCGAATGATAGAAAGGGCTGTGTGACCCTTGCTTTCCAAACAAGTGAGGGATTTTCCATTGTGAAATGGTAGTCCAATGTTTCATGAATATCACATTCCCTTATAAGAATAGCAGCATTTCTTTGAATAGTCTGCAGGCTTTTCAAGAGAAAAGACTATTATCAGTACGTAAGTGTATATAACTCCTTCACGTGCAGTGAGAGAGTTATATTTTGCACAAGATCAGAAAGTGGATTGGATGACTGTAAATTTCAGTTTAATATGTTTCATTAATAATGTTATCTATACTTGTTTTACTATGATGCCAACTAATATGAATGTATTGTCTTGTGTAAGACAATACTATGTCCTATTGGTCCATGGTTAGCAGCAGTTGTGAACAGTAAATGCCCATTTACTGTTGACTCTTGTATTTAGCCACAGTTGAATTCAAGGTGTATTGATATACAAGGTAGTGACAAAGTAAAAATTAATTATGGTAATGGAAATCTGCTAAGAATTATTTATGTCATATAGTTTGTAAAAAACAGATAATTTTTGCCACTCACAGATGGATATACCATACTGTACTGTGCTTACTGATTGGTATTTTTGAAAGTTGTCCATATAGGTTACTATGGTAATGATGCACATGCCTGAGGTGGTTTGCTGAAAGCTACTGGTGTATGTGATAGTGTGTGGATGTTGGGGACATTCATTCTTGAGTGCTGTTGGGCACAAAATGCATCAGTCACTGAGAACATAATAAGAGAACAGCCTTTGAATGAGAACACAAGAATTTGTTTAGAATGTCAAAGCCTTAAACTGTGAAGTTATTGGTTACTCGCCTGCCAGACATTACTTAAAGAAACAGTGGGTCTGTTTTTTTTGTTTTTTTTCACTAATAAGCCTGTCAGAGTTTTTTTTTTTGTTTTTCACATTTAAGTATTCAGCAGTTATTGGATTTTATGGAAAGAGATGAGAGAAATTTATATTTCACATGTACTGGCAGGGACATTTCAATTAATTTTAATTAAAATGTGAATGAGTAAAGTGAAATCTTCTGAGGAAAGTAAGATTCATAAATAGTATTACAAAGCATAACAAAGGTGAACTTGGTGTACCCAGTGTTTTATTTTATTACTAGCACTGTAGCAGAGACCTGCAAAACTCTTGCTGTCAAATTAGTCTCTTTATTGCTACAGCACTTTGTTAAATACAGGATTTTAAGAAAAAACAAAATAATTCCACTTGTCTTAGGCCTAACATTAGTTAAGCTTTTATTATGTACAACCTATGTTTGATAAAAAGATAAATTATTACAGTAACTTGTGTACATTTTTTGCTTTAGTTTAGTTAGGGCTAAACTTTACCTTACTTAATACTGTCAGTAAATATACTTGCAAAGTAATTCCACAACCTAACATTAGACTTTTAAAAATTTTGATAAATGTTTAATATGTTGTTTATAAAATGTCTACCAAAATATATTTGCATCTGTATTTTGTTTAAATCCATTAAAATGAACTCTAAGTGCATACACATTTAGATAGTAAGGTGTGAGCAAATTTTAAGGAGAGACAGAAACTGAATATTATTGTAACAGATGTGAAATATTTTTGATCATACAAATTGAAAGATTTCTGATTCTATACATAAATCTCAAAATTTCTGTTTATTTGTTTGCTTGCTTGCTTGTTTGTTTGTCTACCGTGCTCACTGCACAGGTCACACTTCCCTGACCTGATGGTGAGCAAAACAACAATTTTTCGTTGATATATGCATCTATCATCTGCTAGCCAAACCAGTAATTTTACACGAATGAATTATATGCAGACTTGACATTTTTTGGTAAGTTTGAGTTAACATTTAATTTAGAATATAGCATTATAAGCCTATTTAGTTATAAATCATTAACTATACATCAATATTTAACCTCACACAGAAAAGAAATGTATGCAGAATTAGAATGTTGTGTGGGAAAAAGCAAACAGTAGGCCTAGTCTACCATAAAATAGACTATGTCAAAAGAATAAGGCTTACATTATAATACTTATTGTGTAAAATAAGATTAAAGTCAAGTCAGCGAATGTATTTTATTCTACTTTTTTGTTGTCCGGGTGATTCAATACCTGGAAGTGGATTTTTTTTCTTTTGTTATATTATAAAGTACAATATTGCAGTTTGTTTGTAGTATATTTCATACATCAATGACATAATGTGAATACAATATCACATTCATAAAAAAATTTAAGTTTACATTAAAGTAAATTCAACATAATATTACATACATATTTACATTTGAAATTTTAATATTTGAGGAGGGATGGGGAGAATAGAGCTAGGCTCATGCTGTTTGCCAGATTGGGTACTCGTACGTGTACAAGATAATCTAAATATTCTCCATAAGGGCCTATTTGCCAGTGAAGGAAAAACAAAAAACATCATTATTAAGAAAACCCTGATTTAAAACAGGCTTGTAGTTTATTTTCAAAAATCAAACCTACGGTGGTTGTTTTTTCATAAATTCACAAAATTATTTTTTATCTATTAAAATATGGAATGGGGAAACAGAGAGAGTAGGTTTTTGTTTAGGAAACCTAGATAATACTGCTAGTAAGTTATAATACATGAAAATGCACTGTGCACGTAATACTGGAAATGGGAAGTAGCTCCTTCATGCAAGATACAGGTGTCAATAAATTTCCAGAAGAATCTGGCAGTGTTTGATCTCAGTTGGTTATTGCTCTGGGTATCTGCTGTGAGTCTTGCTCCTCTATTTTTTTCCTACCAGACCTGGGCTCTGTTTCTATAATGCCCAAATGTTAGTAAAATAATGTAGCAGGGTTACAGGATATCTGTGGACCATCATTACGGCTGTGTCAATCTGGGAGATCACAGCTGAAGTTTAGGTCAAGCTCGAGAACCCAGGATGCTTTCATTGACTGAGTTGTCCACAGATAGTACAGATCATGTTTGAAAGGCTCACATATAGAAGCCTCTAGAAACAGAGCTTGACCACAAGTTTATTTTTGGATTTTTGCAATTTGTCTTGAAGGAAATTTTAGAATGAAGTACTTTTGTAACTGGAACATTAAGACTGTAACCCACACATTTTTTTTTACTCTTTTTATCTATGTTTTCAATTCTGACTTTTTCTATTTAAGAGCAACCTCTTGACCCTTTTGGCTATCTTCCTTTTTTTCATATGCCATTTGGAGTATTCTCTGTTGTTGCTTATTATTTTCCATACTGCTGCATGAATCATGGAAGAAACTAATGGTGAATCATTTCCTTTTTGACTTTTCTGATGCATTGCTTTCCATGCCTGGGTCAAGTTTTACTTTTATGTCAACAGAGCCTATGGATAAAGACAAATTGCTAGAGTGTGTTTCCAACATGTAAGCTCTGAAGGCCTCTACTTTAGGGTTAGTCTTCTGGAACATCAGAACTTGGCACCTGCTGACTCATTATCAGTGGTCTTGAACATGGAACCAGGGAGTTTGGATTCAGACAAGCTTATAATGTCCAGTATGCTAGCCATCCATCCAATTCATCCCATGCTGGATCAACCCACCTTGGAGTGAATGAGTGGACTAAATCCAAGTCATTGAAAACCAAGTCAAGATCAAAGGATAAGATGGTGATGGAGCTCTGGGAGAAAGTCTACAAGTGCCCCATTGGAGGGTATTTCATGCCACAAAACAATTGCCATTTAATGTTTATCCACCTCAATCAGAAACCATCACATCATTCATCCTGGTAAGACCTTCCTAGACCTCATAGCTCTAGAGGTAAGGATGGAGAAAATAGTGTTACCCACAGAACTCTTGACTGAGGTAAAAGAGCATCTTTTGTTCCATCAAGTGGCAATCTTAAAGTTTCATTCTAAAGAACAAGCAGCCAGGTTCTTGCCTGGGGGTTGTATATTTGCAAGGAATGCCATCTGCTGAAGTAGAGAGAGATGCCAGAAGTGGAGGAAGATGTACATTGGCTTTGGAAAGATCTGATGCATACTTAGAACATTCTTCCAAGAGCCAGAGAGATGATATTTCACAAGACTGCCATACACATCAAAAATCCATGGCTGTGTTGGAGGCTTTGCTGTCAGAGCACCTTTAGGTTAGCTCTAGTGTCCCTCCTAAATATTGGCCAACTTTTATATATGTAGTCATATAAGTAAATTTTTTCATTTATCTTTGTACAGTGCACATATGTGCATATTTTATTATTTTTAAGTTTTTTAAATTCAAAGTCCTTGTGTAATATATATATATATATAT